CGAGCCCGTCGGTACCCACCCCGATCACTCAACTACAAGCCCCAAGCATCCCTAAGCCCTGTAAGGCCTACAGATCCCTACCCATAGGCCCCTAAGTAGTTCCTTTTTATGGTTCATACTTAGAATCCTCCAAGGTAATCCCAAAAGGAACTACTAAGGAGCCTATGGGTAGGGTCTAGGGTTTAGGGCTCAGGGTCTAGAGTTTTAGGGGGGGTTCTGATACTGGAGCCCGGAGTCTTGTAGCTTGAAACTCCTGTGGATTTGTTGAGCTGATGGAGGTGCTTGAGCATTCTTGTCATAATTGGTACTTCACGAAACTACGGATAGAATCAAGCCTTCCTCGAATTGTTGAGGCCTCCATGATATGGTTTTAGATGTTACTGGAGCCTCGAAGCCCGCTTTCGGGCTTTGGTAGATGTTTGCAGCCTTGCACACATCAGAATGATTGCCCGGAGCCTCCACGTTTCCGCAACTGTGATCCTAAACCCTAAACTAGCCCTAAATCCCTAGTAAAAATTGAAAGATTTCTGAGACGGAAAGGAACGATTGGAGCTTCTGGGGATACCTGTGTTTGTGATTTTGTACCCAAATAATAGATACTTTGGCCCCGAAGTACCCAAATGGGGGCTATTGCGCGGCCAAAGCATCTATTTTTGGGGTACATGGACCCTTAAGGTTAGTTACTCCGGACCACCTGGTGCTCACCCCAACAGAGCTTCAAGATGTAAGCCATGAGGTCTAAGCAACGGTTCGAGTTCTAGTCTTTCAGCCCAAAGCTCTAACCTTTAAGGCCTCAACCCTAAACCCTAAACCCCTAAACCCTAAACCCTAAAGGCCTCAAGCCATTAAGCCTGAATGTAAATCTGACTTACGGCCTGAACCCTGAGCCCGAAGCCCCATAGAGACCTTCGCGCTGTAAGCCACTGAGCCCAAAACCTGAGCCCCGCTTTTCCTAGCCGCCAGAGGCTTTTCTAGGCAGTATGAGGGAGACTCTTAACCCTACTTGTGGCTCTCTTAAACGGGGCCTTGTTGAGAGGGTCTATATCCCCAGAATCCCCCTCAATCATGCCCGAATCCTAACTCCCAGGCTTTTCAAGAAGGTCACATCGAAAAGGCCGCATCGACGGCAGCTGGATTCTTCAACTTTCGGTCTCAAGCAAGGCCAACGGCGAAGTGTATGGCAACCAGATATGTTGATCGTCCGGATTTTTGGGTTGACGTTGAATTACAGGTTCTCTATTCTCGTTCATTTTGGGTCTGTGCCGTAAGCCTTCGGATAGTTTTCAGGGTCTTATGTCCTGGAGGGTTAGTAACGGTTGGAATCCTGAGGTTCAGCATTGAAGGCTCAAGTTGCTGGCTTGAGGATGTTTGAGGGGGTTTAGGGTTTAGGGTTTGGGGTGTAGGGTTTAGGGTTTAGGGTTTAGGGGTGTCAGTCTGGACAGAGGGGGGAGGGGGGGGCTTTTCTTCTGTCTTGCGTTGTATAGATGTTCCAAGGTCGGTAGCCGGTGATGCTGATCTTGTGCTTCCTGGGTGAAGGATGCAGTTTCAACGCGCACGCTCGAACTAAGGCTATACTTGACAAGCCCATCGGAATCAATCAAGTGAATCGGGTATCCGGCAGGCGTGGTAAAAGAAGATGACAAGCTCCACCTTTAGGAGGTCAGATGCTGATGAGATCTCTATCTCGCCTCGGAGAGGTGTCGATCATTGCAATCTTACACCCAGTGCGGAACGAGGGAGCCATTGCTACAACATCTTCTACGGGTGCTGGCAGAGTGCATTCACGGTTGACACCCGGCAGGGCCGCTTCCCCCTGAGCTATGACTGACGGATAAGACAAGAAGCAAAGACAGAGTCGACTTGAGCATGCGCAGCCGACATGATCAGATAACGTAGGACATGCATGTTATTCTATGCAGTACATTGCAGATGTATGTCGTATGATATGTTTTTGTTATATCGCATGCGATCACTAGATCAATTAGCATGCAGAACATATAGTATATCATGCTATAAAACTCCGAGCATCTATGCTTGATATGGTACAACAGACCCTTTCTTTCAAGATCCCCTGGCCCCTCGTGCCATGGGAGCTTGCTGCACTTCATCTTCCACACCCCGCTGGCTTCGGGAGAACCCGGCCGCCTCTGCAAACTGGCCCTGCTCTTCCTCCGAGCAGCTCCGCACTCTGCAGGCGAAACTGGCGAAGCTGGGGAGACTGGGTTCTGGAGTACCATACTTGAAGGTTTTTTTTTGCTGGACCTGTTCCTTAAAGGAACCACTATAAAATACAAGTCTATACTTTTTTCTGCCTGGCTACTTCAAAGTCCAGGAGAGGACCAAGAGGACATGGCCCCGATGAGAAACTCATCGAGGTCTTTGGCCGAAAGGTTGAAGGCTGGGAAGCTGCCAAGGACGTCGGCTGAAATTCCTCGAAACGTGCCCGTGAGATGTGTGAAGAAAGAGACTGAAGCCCAGGGCAAAAGCAGCAACAGCAACAGCATTCCAAGACGCTGTTATTCATTCTGCATGTGTTTATTTGAACCCTGCTGATTGTTTTATGCGGGGCCCAAGAACGCAAGTGCCATTATCGCTGCTAGGACGTCAGCCTGCATGTGAGCTTCACCCGGAGCTTAGAGGAGGCTCTGCCAAAGAACCCTGCCATTGAAGGTGGGCTTCGTCGAGATTTTGGGGCGCTGTCACAGTGGTGTTGCCGTTGGAGAATGGGGATGAAAGTAGACGGCAGTAGATGGCCCAAGCGGATAGGCCGAGCTTGAGACATCGAGATAATTCTGATCTGACGTCGTTTTTGCTTGCCCGTTGCCTCTGTTGTTGTTCTTCTCGCGTTTTTCTGTGTCCTACCTGTTTCAAGCCGTTTGTTCACTGTTATCATGCTAGTCTTTTCCCGCAACATATGACATAGCATGACGTCGTCCCCTGTTTCTGCTTTGGGCTTGCTACAGGCCACCGTTCCGAGCTTCTCCACCAGCTGCTCCAGCTGTCGCCCGCCGTCGAAGACGACGTCCGAGTTTTTGCACGCGCGACGGCGCTTGGCGCGGCGAAGATTCGGAACAAGCTCTGTGGCCTGGCGCAGGGAGGACGTCAACTTTTCTTTTGGTCGTTTGGGGTTGTGTGCGATTGAAGGAGGTGAAGACCGAAGAGTTATAGCCATACATGAGCATCGACCAGGGTAGATATTGCATGGGGGCGTGGACATCGGGGATGTGGACTCAGGTAGCGAGCAGGGAGGAAGCTGGAGATGGGACAGCGATATGCCCTTCGAGATGGTGGTGGGTGATGCCGTGGTCAATCCCGACGACGGTCTCCGGGTTTCCCAAAAGGGCCGTTGTTTTTCCCTTTTTGAAGTCTTATAGGCTCCTGATAGAGGTACCCAATACGAATAAAGGGAGCCCTTTTCTCATCCTAGGTTACTGGGCGTCCTAGGTCTCGTTTTGGTGCGCTCCGGGTGGCTCGCAAAAGGCGTGGTGTATCGGGAGCGCGGTCATGACGAGCAAGGCTTCGACATCATTCGTAAACTTGCCGGACTTCTGGGAGGTTTGGGGCTTAGGGTTGAGGATTTAAGGTTTAGTTTTTTTTGTTTTTTTATAATTCTCTTCCCGAAGGAAACCCAGAAGGAATCAGTGACACGTGCCTTCTAAGTGTTGGATGTCTTTTGCTTCAGAGACGGAAACAGAGAACGACAACAACTTAGTCTGCTCGGGTGGTTGAGTACCAAGTACGGTGCAACAATGTCTCTGTGCTAGCAAAGTTGAGGTATCCAGCTGAAGACGCACAAGGCTTTGAAGGAGACCTATGTATTCTCTATCAACCTTGATTCTAACATGTTTAAAGATGCCTCCTGAGCACGAAGTGTTTTAAATCGTGCACAGCAGCAGCATGTGAGTCCTTGAATTTTAAAGAGCGGCTCCTGCGATTGTGTCTCACCTGACGCGGATGGTTCGTTCAGAGCCTGGAAAGAGGGTATGAGGCCCAAACCCTCAACCCTAAACGCTAAACCCCTGACCCTCAACCCTATAGGCCCCAAACCCTCAACTCTCAACCCTAAACCCCGGACCCTCAACCCTAAATCCCAAACCCTCAA